TTTGGTTTTTACCCTCCTGATATTCAAATCAATACTGATTGATTTTTTAGCACAAAATTGTTCTTTGTTGTTGGGATCTTTTTAGAAGGGATGCCCTCTTGTCACACTTGTGTCTCCTTAATTTCTATTTACCCCTTTCCATACGGACCAAAGGCCATGTCATCGTGTTTGTTGACTTGCATTCAAAACTTTATTGAACTACTATTTTATGAATTTATGTCATTAAGTTTGGTATCAAACTATAGATTATAATTCAAATTTTAGTATTATATATTATTTAATTTCTTAATTTAAAAGTAAATATTAAAAAAACACACCTAAACATAAATTTTTGTGTGTCATGTGGTATGTTGAATGCAGCACTGGTTCAAATTAGATGTTTGTGATGTCAAAATACAAATTCTATAGTATCGTACGAATTAGGAACTCAAATTACCAATATTGACAAGCTAGAATTTTAAATAAGAACCTCCTATCTTTTCTATTTGCTGAGATATCGCCCGTCTACTATAGTTCTATATATGTTCTATATATGACATGTGAATAACCATTCAAAACCTCAGAATGTCCCCCCTAATGGCTTTCTCAGTCATTTTAAAGTTTAGGATTCCATCTCATTATTTCGAAACAAGATTTGAAGAAGGTAGGTTGTGTTTTTAGTCTGCTCAAATTTCATGTTTTTTTAGACTGAAAAACAGCCTAGTTACTAAGCTTGATAAATTATAGTGGGATTCTATGGTATCAATATAGTAATTTATGATTTTTTTGGTTATTCAGCTGTATATATATAAAACCTAGAAAACATTATTTCATTTCACATTCCCCCACATGCAAAATTTCTTAAGGCTTAGGAAGCTAAGACAAGCAGCAACCAAGCACAAAGGTCAGAACTAGAAGAGATAATTGTTCACTTTACTTCTTTATTTACTGTTCTACATTTTAAGAAAAACAAGTTCAAGAAGGTGTTTGTAAATAGTAATAATTTGTATACATATATAACATATAATAATTGAAATGTGACTGTATTTTATAAAATACTAGTCCACTATAAAACACAACCAAGACAGGTCACTTTGTAGAAATTAAAGGTCAGTTTTATATTATTGGATATGGTAACATGAGTGCATGTATGACGCGTCATTGTAACTTCTGTATTGTTAGCCAGGCATGGCTGAAAGGTCAATATAATAAAAATAATAAATATATATAAATGTATAATGTTATGAGATTTAAGCTATTTCGTCTAAATATTTATGTTTTCATATTATAATTTGTTATCATTCTAGAATGAAAGAGGCATAATTTATATTTGTTTCCTAATTTTTTATCTTGGTTACAAGATTAGTCAAGTCTACCAAACCTGTACAGAGATTTGTTACTGAAAATAACAGATAAAATATAAAAATTTTTCTTTAAAAATGTTTGGTAAGTATCTGGACATTATAAGGATTTTGCATGTAAAATTTGAAAATTTTCTGATGCATAATAGTATTTTTAATCTTAAAAGGAAAATTACTTTGCATGTTGTACATGCAAAAAGGAAAAAAAGGCATGAGAAAAACATTGCTTTAGAAAAAATCAAAATTAAATATTTTATTTTTCAAAAACTACATACTTATTGGACCTTTCATCTGAAATTTGAAATAATTTCATCCACTAGTTCCATTTTTTTAAAGAACTTTCATGAGAATCAAAACATTAAGAGACCTCCATTTGGCTTCCTTTTTGTGCCAGTCTGTATTTGGGGATTTTTCTGATACATTGGAGTCTAGGGTAGAGGCCTCACAGCAATATTCTGCCCTTTCTTCCTAGGTTTCCTGTCTTTCTCAGACCTTTCTTGCCTCACTTCCCATGTCTCCCCCCTGCTTCCTCCTCCCCTACCAGTGTCTTCTTCTAAGGTTTCAAATTGTTCATTGATGTGTTTTCTGACAACAGTTGCGTCAGTGACTATCCCATAGGTTCTGGCATTGTCAGAGCACATTTGGCAAGATTTGTGTACCTGTGACATCCATTTGTCACAGATCCCTAGGTTCTTCAAGTTCTATCAGAAGAACTCTATCCCCCCCTTTATTATAAACACATCCCATTTTCTTCCCTCCTCCACAGGATCCCATTTTATGCCAGATTCTCTCAGAAGTGGTTTAAGATCTTTTACACAAGGACACTATCAAACAAAGACATCACCCTTCTCTGGGGTTTTATTCCCAACTGTTTATGAGTTCCATAAAGACTGTGGATTGGCACCCTGTCATTGATCTGTCCAACCTCATCCACTTTATCAATCTCTCTCAGTTACTGTGGAGTTTTATCTCACAAGCATTCACTCTGGGTCTCTGGAGGTCAAGTTTTACAATTACTCACTATACTTTTTGGTCTGGCATTAATGTATTATGTCTCGTATCATGTGGTCAGAGCATTTGCCTGCCATCTTCACAACCACAGTTTGTGGTTCCATCAGTATATGGATGAATGGCTCATTTTAGCTCTGTCCCAACAAACTTCTTTCACTCACATACATTTCCTTCTTGATAAAACTGCTCATGTGGATGGCTTGTCAAGGTGGAGAAGTCCATCTCAACCCTGAACAGAATGTGATCCATTTGGGAGCATTTTTCATTATCTTCCTCAGCAGGGCCCAGCCTTCTTTTTGTTTGAGGTTGATGGAGCTCTTGGTTTCCAAAGCCAAATCCTCTCCTTCTCTCCTTGCATGTGAGGTTTTATCTCTTTTGAGGACCTGGGTCTCCATGCAATCTCCTGACAATTCATATGTTCTTCCCATCCTGTAAGAAAAGCATCTGTGAATAGGTGCAAATTTGGATAAGGTGTAGGCAGAGCACTGCCAGCCAAGGTTTATTCTCTGTTTAGCCACCAAGCAAAGTCTACTGGAAGGAAGTAGAGAGGAGGATGGTGGAATCCAAGGGATCATGAACAAAATTGCTTTGATCATGCAACACCAACTAAAGACCATGCATTTCTTTACTTGGCTCAACGACAATGGTTTTTCAGTATCCACCAATGCAGGTTATAGTGCAGTCTTATCTAATACCCTCCTTTTCTACTACACCCATCACACTTTTTTCTCCCATCTTTTCCTTTTGTTTGATCCATCCACCCTGTCTGATACTCCTACCTGACTGGAATCTCATTGTGGTCCATCATGCCCTTACCCTTCTTTCATTTGAACATTTGACCACTTGCTCATTGTACCACCTTTCACTAAAGATGTATTTTAAGCTCCTTTTTGCATGTGGACATTGTAGGTCAGATATCTTCACTATCAACATCCCCCATATTCTTTATCTAGATCTTACTTTTTTCCCAAAAACATCAGCAGTGCATGAAGGGGACATTGTGTTCACACCTCTTTCCCTTCCTTCCATCTCTTAGTTGTATTCCCTTGCTGATCTTGATAATCTTCTTTGTCTATTACATGCTCTACATTGTTATGTCACCCACACTTTTATCCATGGATGCCATTCCAACCTATTTGTAACATGGAATACTTCATCTACGTGAGAACTTTCTTCTATTACCCCTACTGAATAGATATGTCAACTTATTCAGCTTTTTTCATCATTATCTGAGGACTCCCATTGCATTTTCTGTGTTTCTTCCCACCAAATACGTCATCTCATCTCCTAGGCAGCTTACTTCAATCACCTGTTAGAGGAGATTTTACAAGCTAGCATGTGAATCACACCTCCTACTTTTATAGCCCACTGCTTGCATCACTTGACTGTCTCCTCCTCATCTGGCTATCACTTGCAACCTGTTTCCATCCTCTACACCTCATTTTGACTGTGATAGGGTTAGTTCTTTTTATTTCTTACCATTACAATGGCCATTTTCTCATTTCTTGGATCCCACTTTGTGGTGAGCTATGTCTGTCCAGGTATACTTCAACATAAATCTGCATCACATGGCCATGTACGTCTACAACACTGGCTGAAGAGATGGGGTGTTCTGAAAGACCACTAGAGGCTGCCTCATGGTGTCTCACTTCATAAATAAAGCCAGAAGAAAACTGTACCAACTCATGGACTATCATGGGTAAAGCAGTGTCGAAATTGCTGCTCTTACTCATAATTCTTTGTGGAAGAAATCAAGACTGGGTTGCTTTTCAAAATAGGGTTTTCATGGTCACCCATTGCACTGTCTTATAGTGGTGCATTCCTCTGGACTTTCCACCACATTGTTCCCCCCTTATCCAGTGAAATATGGGAGTCCTTGTCATTGGGGTGGTGGATCATGGAGGCTTCCAGAGTGACTGATTCCTCTCAGTTGAGAGTAGAGAGGTGATGTTCTGTTGGTGTAAATAGTGAGCACTCTCCTCCTACCACAAACTGGAAAAAAAAAATACCTGAAGCTGCCTGGTTTTGAGCTGAACAAATTTACCACATGCAATTCACCCATCCAGCTGGCTTTTCCATCTTACCACTATCTGGATGCTGGTTCTGAGGTTATCTGGTGCTGGATCAGCATAGAACCAGCCAATATAAGTCCTCACACATGTGGTTGGTAAGGACCCTCCTCCTACCATGGAATGGACAAAAAAAGTTCTGACACTACCTGGTTTTGGACTGGAGTTGACCCACCATGCTGCAGAAATGGTTTAGGTGTAGTAAATACTGCTTAAATTAATTGAAGTGCATATGTTACATTAGTTTATTTTTTATCATTTCTCGGCTTTATTTTTCTCCTTCTTTCGAAACTGTATTCAAATATGACTTTATTTGAAATTGCTCATCATATTTGTTATCCTCCACCATGATATATGCTAAGGTGATTTTCTGGATCATGTTTGTTGCATCCATTCTGAGAGTTTAATTTTATAAAGGTTATTAAAACCATTTTAATAGTCAGTAGTCATTTATGGAATTTGAAATGAGGTTCTTATTTGTAATACGATGTATACAGTGAAATGGAAAAGTATAGTGAAAGTGCTATGAGAATAGTAAAAGAAATAAATAAAATATTGAAACAAGATTTTATTTTTTCAGTGATCAATGACATAGTTGGTACAATGTTTGATTTGAAATTTGTGGAAGAACTCTTCAAATCTCAAGAATTGTACTCTAAGAAGGCATTAAGGTCAGTATTTGAGAAACTAGCCCATGCTTCCATCATGAGACTGAATACAGCCAGTATGGATAAGGTAAAGACTGTACATGCATATTTTTATGATTTTTATTATTCCTAAGCATTTTATCTTTTCAGATACATCTTCAAATGAATTTTTAAAAATGAAAATGTTCTAAGTTTCCAGTTGTCCTATTTCACTAGCCATTTTAAGTTTTTAAAACTGTTTGAATTAAAGTTTCTGCAAAATTGGGCCTTTATTATCATAAATAAAATAATTCAACTGTTTATATATAGATACAAAATAAGTTCAATAACTGAGCCTCAACTTTAAAATCATACTTTATAGTTTCAAATTACTAGTTTAGTATGCTAACATGTGTTTTCTACCCCATGCTTGATATATATATATTTTAATTTTCTATATGTATATATATATATATATATATATACAGGCCATAGTTGTTTGTATTTTAGCATAGAATGTTGATCAAGGAATCATCTAAGTTCCTTTTGCCAGAACTCCTTACTGTTCTGGGTCATTTGCCTAGGGTATCACATGTGTCTTCTCATGGAAAAGATTTCTGTAGAGTTGAACATACTATACCAAAGTGATCTTTTCTATTGATTGACCAGATGATCTCTTATTTTTCAGTGGGAATGACTAACAGTCAAAGGGGAAGTGCACACACTCTTAAATACATTTATTGTTTTATGTAAATAATGCTATGTTTTCTCAATCTGGAACAGTTCATTTAATACATCTAAATATAGAGAGTTCTCTCCAGTAAAAGAACTACACCATCCTTCATAAATATACTCTCTTTTTTTGGTTATTTTTGTGGACCAAAAGAGATAATTTAATGTCTGTCCTATATCTTTAATTTTTCAAAATCAATTAAAGTCAGAGAACTAAGATTTGTTCCATAATACATTTTCTGTGAAACCTCCTATTATTGTGTGGAACCTACTTATTTACTTTTAAAGGAAATCAGTGCACCTGAGAATACCACACTAGGCAAATCATAAAATTGATAGAAGCAATAATTATTTAATCCTCTAAGTAATAGTTATAGACTGAAATTTCACATTTTGCATAATTCTGACTGATATATAAAATTTCCACCAATAAAAAGCTTCTGTATTTGTGCATTAAAACTAGTATATTGTTTGTATTTAACACAGTTGTGATTGCAAAAGTACAACAGCATTAGATTCACAAATGTCACTCACCTCTCTGCATTACAAAGATCTATTACCTCATGCACACTGCTGTGTAATTTCCTGCACATTCCACAAACCTTGGAGAAGCTCCCATCCATACATGTGTCAAACATGTATTGTACCAGCCATGGGACTTGTACTTGCCACCCATAGGAGGGAAACACATCCTCCATGCAAAGTAATCCCCATGAGTTATACACATGAACACAGGCTCATTCTTTCCTTAGCACTGCTTGTCTTTAGAATTTTTTTATTACATTTGTTACAGTTTTTTAACCTTAACCTTTCATTCATATTCATCATGTAGTCTTTCTCTTCTTAATTTTCTTGATTATATGAAAGAAAAATACTAAATTTTAAAATTATCTGTTTGAACTTTCATTTGAATTATCTTCTATTTTATTTTCTTCAAATTGACTTTGTATTTTTGGAACACATCCCATTGTTTATTGTTTAATCTAACATATAGAGAGTTCTTCATCAAGTGGTGCAATCCTATTGGTATTAGACTGCATGGATCTACCCCTAACTTGGGAAGTATGGCTGGGGTGTTACCTGGTATTGTAGTACAAATTAACCCACTACAATATGAACTAAGCCATTCTCAATGGTTAGATTAATCAGAATAGATATTGAGTTCATATCAGAACACAGGTGTGGGATGCTACTCCCTACACCTGATTTTTTTGTTATCTTTGTTATTTCTTCAGTATAGAATGGTCTGACTTAGAGCCCCAGCCACACTGCACATTCATGGTCAGCTTTCCACCTGTAAGATAATGACCATATAATTGCAGGATTCTAACTTTTTGTGGTGCAGAGAGGTGAATAGTGTTAACATTTTTCCCTAACTGAAAATGTATTTCAGATATATAACTCTTTATACCATCTCCCTTCCCACTTCTGTTGCATTTAGTTTTTCTTTGTCAATTATGAGCCTTTTTTTACGTGCCAGTGCTCATGTAGACTACTGTGCATGAAGGATATGTCTCCCTCCTATTGTTGGAGGGCTAAAGTTTGGTGATGATTACATCCTAGGCTGGTGCAATACACATTGATATATGTAGAGATAGGAGCTTTGTTCAAGGCTTGTGGCATATGCAGGAAATTACACAGAAGTGCATGCAAAGTAATATCTCTATGTGATGCAGAGAAGTATCTGTCTGAAATATATTTTCAGGTAATGAAAATGTTATTGTTAAGTTTACTCTGGTTGCCTTTATATGCCATATAAAAAGATTTTATTATACTAACTTTTATTTTAGTAAGATGAAAAAAATATTATTGTTATTATTATAGTTTTGTGAAATTGTGATGTACACAATTGAAAATGAGCTGAAAATGAAGATCAACATCTGCCTAAGATAATTTCTAATATTCATTAAACCTGTCTAATGTAATTCAGGAATGCTAGATGTTAAAACTATTTCCTTCAACAGATACCAATTTAACATTTTAGAAAAATTCATATAGTTTTGAATATGTTTTATTTAAATATTTTTTAAATATTTATTTAAAAAATGTATGTAATATTCATGCTTGTTTTCAGCTCTATGACCTAATGACAATGGTGTTTAAGTACCAAGTGTGCTTGTGCTCTTGTTCAACTGACTTACTGATGATAACTTTGAATCACCTTGATGGAATCCGTGCTTTTGTGTCAGAAAGTAGTGCAGTTTTTAGCCAAATTGATAATGTCTATTTTCTGTTATTAAAGGTGAGAAAGTATAAATATTTTTTTCTTAGTTTTACATCTGTAATATAAGAAATATGATTCTGTTTATGCTGTCACATATAGTTAGAAACTTGCATAATTCACATAGTTGTTGAGGAAATGTTTTACAATGCAATCAGTTATTTATTTAGATAATTAAAATTATATTGATATAGAGCTTGTAGTAGGTGTTTTATTGGATGAAATTCATTTAACTAAATTATAAACCTTAATGAGTTCTTATAGATAGGAAAATAAGTTTAATCTCCTCTCTTTTTTTTCAGACTTATAAGAAAATGGAAAGTGGAGAATTCCAGTTTCTGAGATACACACTATTAAATTTTTTTCAGGATTTACAAATCAGGGTAAGCAAAAATAAATCAATTTAGATTTTTTGGTACAGTTATTATGATTCATCACCATTAGTAGTTATATTCAGTATAAAGAAAAACAACTTTCCTTAAGGGCTTCTTCTTACACAGAGTTATAAAGGAAAATATTAAGAAAATGTTTTATTTAGAGCTATTATAAAAACAGCACTTAGAATTGTGTTACCACCTTTTGACCTATCCAACATTTAAGAGATCATTGTCTTTTCCTTAAAGTTTCAACTTCAATTACAACTAAAACATTCTGAGATGAAACCTTATCTCTTCTCTTCACACAGAATAGTATGATTCTTTTATTCATCTGCATGCCACTATCCTTGAACTACCTCCCACCTAACAAAACACGTGTTTAACATGAAAATTGTCAAATTTCACATGCTAAGTCTTTATAATGTCCACATAGTTATCAAATGTTTCTTAAGAAAAATATATATATTTTATCTGTTATTTTCAGTAACAAATCTCTGTATACAGGTTTGGTAGATTTGACTGATATCATAACCAAGATAAAAAATTACGAAACAAATATAAATTATGCCTCTTTCATTCTAGAATGATAACAGATTATAATACAAAAACATAAATATTTAGACTAAATAGCTTAAATCTCATAGCATTATACATTTATATATATTTATTATTTTTATTATATTGACCTTTCAGCCTTGCGTGGCTAACAATACAGAAGTTACAATAATGCATCATACATGCACTCATGTTACCGTATCCAATAATATAAAACTGATCTTTAATCTTTACAAAGTGACCTTTCTTGGCTGTGTTTTAGTAAACTAGTATTTTGTAAAATACAGTCACATTATACATTATATATGTATATAGATTATTGCTATTAAGAAATAAGTTTTTAAACTTATTTTCCTAAGAACATAGAACAGTAAATAAAGAATTAAAGCAAACAATTATCTCTTCTAGATACGACCTTTGTACTTGATTGCTGCCTGATGTAGGTTACTAAGCCTTTTAAAATTTCACAAGTGGAGGATATTAAACAAAATAATTTTTTTTAGGTTTTATACATACAGTTGGATAACCAAAAAAATCCTAAATTACTATATCATTACCATAGAATTCCACTATAATTTATCAAGCTTAGTAACTAGGCTATATTTCAGTCTAAAAAAAATATGAAATTTCAAACAGTCTAAAGACACAACCTACCACCTTGAAATAAATGGCATTGTAGTACTTTAAAATGGCTAAGAAAGCCACTAGGGAGACATTCTGAGCTTTTGATTGGTTAGTCATATCATATATAGAAGTAAGTGTATATAAGGGAGTGTTTACAAAATTGGAAGGAGGTGGGTGGGGTGCCACCAATGTGTTTGATTCATTACATGAGCAATATCTTACCAAATAGAAAAGATAAGAGGTTCTAATTTTATATTCTAGCTTGTCAATATTTACTTTTAAATTAAAAAATTGAGTAATGTATAATGCTAAAATTTGAATTATATTCTACAGTTTGATACCAAACTTATTGACATAAATTCATGAAATAGTAATTCAATAAACTTTTGAATGCAAGTCAACAAACGAGATGACATGGCCTTTGACCCATGACTGTGGAAAGGGTTAAGTATAGTTACTAAGAATTTGTCTGTGAATATATAGAGTCAGTGTTTACTGCTCCAAGTGAAAAGTGATTTTCAAGTAAGATCAAAAATATTTTTTCATCTGAAAATTTTCGATTTTCATTTGAACAATCTCTAAACTTCCTTTTTTTGTTTTTTTGAAAACGTTATATTTTATACTATTTTCTCTACCCTAATTCTATACAGGATCAGTCAATTTTACCAACCTCATAACCATCATAACACTTTAGAGGTTGAAAAAGGAAGTGCTTATATGAACATGAATATATATATATATTGTTACTACTTATTCATAATTGCTTAATGTTTAATTATTTTTCTTAAACCAACACAATAAATAAAAAATATATTGAAAAGCAATGATTCCTAGTACTTACAACGTTATGAAATTGATTTGTACAAGCACGTCAAACTTCCTAAATCTTGACGTAAACCTCCTTTATTCTCTCAAGTGGAGGGGGAAAACAAATTAATTTTTGTAGATTTCAAACCATAAAATTATCAAATTACTATACTGGTACACATAAAACCACTGCAATTTATCTGTTATATGTGATTTTAAAAAATCTCATTTCTGTTCAGAGCAACAACTTATTCAACAGTCTCTCACATTTCCACTCAAATTACAAGTTCCCCTTCAAGCCAGTTACAAACTACTGTCAGATTTAAATAGTTTGGAATGTGCTCTTTCTATTGGTTGTAAACATGTTCTTAAGAGAAGTAGGTTTAAATAGAGAAGAGGTTTCAAAAGATTGGAGTAGTGGTTGAGACTACCCTCATAGGTTTGCAAAATATATTAATATCACAGCAAATCCAAAAGATGGGAGGTTCCTATTTTATATTTTAGCTTTTAAATGTGTGAAATTTGTTTCTCATTTGTTAACCACTATAGAAGTTGTATGGTAGACATAATATAATATGAACTGAGCAATAATACAAGAAGACATGCCATAGGACACACAGAGAAGCATATCTGGCATTTATTTTAAATATTTTCTTTCAAATTAAGAAATTTAAACATATACAATATTTATATTTGAATTATAAACTACATTTTGATGCCAATTTTATTGACATACAATGATAATAATATTGTTTAATTAAATTTTGAAAATAACTTTTTTAAACTTCGTGACATGCACCCTTTGACCTGTCTATTGAGAGAGGATTAAGTAATGAAAAACCACCATTTGAACAACAACAAATATGTAAGTGTATATGACTATTCACACAATAAAGGCTACTGAATCTTACCTTAAAATATATAAGCTTGATAAAATACTTAAAATCACAATTCTCAATTTTTATGTCAACTTAGTTTCACATATATTATTAAATAATATCTAAAAGATCATCACTTCAAAAAAAAACGGATATATCAAAAACAAAAAATAGGGATATGTTGGGTCTTTTACATGCAAGAGAATCCTGAACCTTATGGTTAGAGACAGTTCAATAAAATATTATCCAGTGACAAAGATCCAGTTTAGATGCTACTTTAGTTTTTGGGTTATTAAATAAATAAAGATAATTATTTTCATCAGGAACAACAGAAAAACTTAATTTTGTCCTTCTCTCTTCCTCATAAAATTTAAGAATCTGTTGGTGTAACTTAAGATTGGTTTGAAATTATCTTAACAATATAATTACAGTTGTTTCTTATGATGTTTTGGTGAAAAATTGAGAATTAATAGAACAGGCTTTATTTTGTAGTTATTGTGGTAGTCTACTGTTTTCCACCAGAAGTTTGAAAGCAAATACATAATTTCTACTCTGGTACTGTCACGGCTGTGCCTGTCCAATTTATGGAATACGGTCGTGTATTCAAGGCACGGCTTCGCGCCAGTTGGCAGTCGACTTAGTGTGAGCAATGTCATAACAAGCTTTTCTAGATCAAACCTTCTGTTGCTCTTTGGCTGTCTTGTTTCCATAAGGATCAGAAGGAGGATATTTTTCCTGGCTAGGCTATACATTGGTCCCAGTTTTTTAACTCTTTCTTTTCTTTTATCTGGTACTGACCCACCAATGTGTAGACTTTGTGACACTCAAGTCACAATAGCCCACATTTTACTGCCATGGCATAGTTATGACCGTAAGCGCCGGCACCAGTTTAGACATATACTTTCTATAGATTTACCCCTGACATTGGACAGTGTCATTGGTGATGGTGACACTGTCCAACTTGACCGTGTTTTTAGCTTTTTGTGAGTTTTAGGCCTTTTTAATTCTATTTAAATGTTTTTACCTGATTTTCAAACATTGTTTAGTTTTAACTTGATTTATTTTTATACTTTATAGTCTTTTACCTTTACATTTTTACCAGTTATTTTGTGCAAATAGCCCATTGCTTTGTGCCAAAAAATGCCAAACAATGGCTTCTTCTGATCTCATGCCTCCTCCCATAACTGTTTCTCATCTTGCACACTCCCATATCATTTACTAGTTCCTCCCGCTAGAGGTTCGACATTTCATCATGTGTCTCGACATCAAGTTCATCATCGTCAACAGTTCTGGTGACTATCAGGTGATTTCTGATGCAGTGGGGGCATGTTTAACTGATTTTGTTCCCCTGTGGCAAGAATTAACTATTGATTCTTGGGTGATCCAAGTTTTGTCAGAAGGATTTTTCATCCATTTCTTTTCCTTCCTCTTTGTCTCCTGTACTGATTTCCTTCCCACTGTCTCGTCAGTGTTTATTCAAGGCTGTGGAGACTTCTCTCACAGAAAGCTATCAAGCCTGTCAACCATCCTTCTCCAGGCTTTTTGTCATCCTCAAGTAAACCAGGGACTGGGATCTTGTGATTGATTTGTTTCTACTCTACCATGGAGCCTCAAGTGGACTTTTTCTCCAGGACTGTTGATGGTCAAGGTATATATTTTGAATGCTTATTTCTCATTAGCCCAGACACTATATTTGGTTTTTACACTATGGGGTCGTATATCAGTTTCATGCCTTGACTTTTGGGCTTGATTCAGCATTGTATGTATTTTGTCAGGGATCAAAGCCTTTGCCCAACTTATACATGCTTGATGGTTGCATTTTCACCACTAGATGGATGACTGGCTCCTGTTAGATCATTTCGAACTGGAGTCTTCTCAACACACATCTGATACTGACAGAAGCAGCTTGTGTTGGTTGGATTCTCAAGTTGGAGAAGTCTTTCCTTTTGCCTACCCAATATCTTATCCACTTGGGTGTATTTTTCAACATCCACCTTAGTTGGGCCAGATTTTCTCCACTTTGTCACCATTTGATGGAGCTTTCACTTCACCATGCACTTGCTGCTCTCTCTATTTCTGCATGTGAGGTTCTATCACTTTTGGGGACTTGGGCTTCTATGAAAGCCCTTATTCCCTTGTGTT